CTGGCTTCACCTGGAGCATCTCCCCTGCCCTTCCGCTTTCCTTCACCAAGGGCAGCCGCCAGAGCAATGCTTTTTCAGTTACAATGTGTTATCAAATAAAAATCTAATCATGCTCCAATCTAGCTCAAAAGGTCCTTCAGTGGCCATCGAAATAGGCTGATTATTCTGAGGGCTTACGAGAACTGCAGCACCAGGAAATATACGAGTGGAACTGCAACATGACGTTAGATGCAGTTATTCCATTAGAACGTTCTCAACCTTCCTAATGCTGCGCCCTTTAATAATACAGTTCTTCATGCTGTGGTGACACCCCCAACCACAAAATTATTTTCGTTGCTACTTAATAATTGTAGTTTTGCTACTGTAAATGTAAATATCTGTGTTTTCAGATTGGCTTAGGTGACCCCATGTGAAAGGGTCACTCAACCTTCAAAGGGGTGTTGACCCACAGGTTGAGAACCACTGCATTAGAGGCCTTCTGATACAATGTTCATTCCAACCTGGCCTTACCTTATCCTAACAGTACCCCCAAAGTAGCAGAGACTTTCCTAAACAGTGCCCACAAATGCTGCCAGAACCAGAACAGCTCCAGCACCCATCGTCTTGGTTTATCCCAAGCCACCAGTACCGCTCACAGGCTGTAGTGCAGAGGGTGTCCAGTGCTTGTTGGATGCACGGTGATTCAGAGATAATGGTGCCAGTGGACAGTGCCCTGGTTCCTCCAGGGTAACATGGGGGCCAAGCAGACCGTCCCTTCCTGTCTAATGAGGGCTAGGAGAGCCGTGGCTGGGGGAGGAGCAACCTGGGAGGCAGACCTTGAGCTGTCTGCTTAGAGGGCAGAGCACAGAAGAGGCAGAAACATGGCTTCCGAGTGAGCTTGCTTCTGGAGTTCCCAGAGCCGGGAGACACTCATGAAATTAGGATTCCTTCAGCCTTCAGTGGCAGGCGGTCAGGGAAAAGAGGGATTTCACTGGTTTGGGTTACTGAAAAGTCTGGGCTTTTGATCTGGTTGTAGTAGAACAAAGGATGAGATGGAGGAGATCTCTCCTCCATGTCTCCCGACCATTTTCCTGTGTTGGCTTCACGTCTCATCAGCTCTGCAGAATCAGGAATGGGGGCAGGACCTGTTTTTTCCCGCCAAAGTCTCAGGGCTGAAAGCTGTGTATGGTGGTGGCTCACACCTGTAATCCCAGCACTTTGAAGGTTAGGGGTAGAACTGACCCAAGTTTGAGACCAGCCTGGGCTGATAATGAGACCCTGTCTTCCAAAACAAGACAAATGCATCTCGGGGACATTGTCCAGGAGGTAAAGTACTTGCAATGGAGACCTGAGGACCTGAGCACCCATGTGCAAAGATAAGCATGTTAGCACACATCTATAACACCAGCACTAGGGAAACAGACAGGAGGACCCTCACTGGCCAACCAGCCTAGCCAAATTAGTGAACTCCAGTTTGAGTGAGAGATCCTGTCTCAAAAAATAAGGTGGAGAATGATGGAAGAAGACACACAATACTAACCTTGTTTCACACACACACACACACACACACACACACACACACACACACACACTACACATATGTATCAGTATTCACACTCACTGCACATGAGGTCCCAGGGCTGACTCTACTGAACAAATCAGTCTCTGAAGCTGGGCCATGAGGTTTCCCTCTGACTCTACATGCAAGGTAAGATGCACCTGAACCCTAGGATCTAAACATGGGAGAGGCAAAGTTCCCAAAGTGGGTCCAGGAGCAGCTACTGGAAGAATCGGAATGATTCCAGGGCAGGCACGTCGTGAATCCCAGCACAATGGTTGGCTGAGGCAGGGTTTGACCTGTTTGGAGATGGATACAACTCACAGCATCCTAGCTGATGCCAGGGCTGGTCCATGGACTACCCTTTCCATCAGGAGCACACTACCTGGAGTGGCCGCCTCCCTCAGAGTCACTTAGGCTGATGCTGGCCTACAGGCTCTTTCCAGTGGCTAGTCTTTTACTCACTGTAGATCTCATACCAGCTGTCCTCTCTATGTAGAATATTTTCCCTCAAAATTCCCTCATCATCTAACCACCATTTTCAAGATTTTTATCTCCTTCCACCTGTGAGTAATATTTCCTCACTGGATGAAGCTAAGGTTACAATTCTTCTTCTTCAGCCCAAGCCTTCTTTCTGTAACTGAGACTTGTGAATATCAACCTGGTCGAATTGTAAAACACATTTAATCATTCATGAGTTGGATAAACTCTGCTATGTTCAATTGATTTGCTGACAAACCCACAGCCTGAGTTTCAACTTTTTTTTTTTTCTCTCCAGAGTCAGAGGTTGAGACAGGGTCTGGCTACGTAGCCTTGGCTGGTCTGGTACTCACTATGTAGACCAGGTGGGCTTTGAATGTGTAGGACTGACTCAGCCTCTCCAGTGCTGGATTATAGGACACCACACTCAGATTTCAACTTGGATGCTTACATTGTGTCCTTAGTTTTAGGAGGTCAGAGGGCACAGAAATAATATTTTTTCTTCTTGGCACAGCACCTGGGAGTCAGGTGCTGATCAATTTTCACTGTGTCAACGGTGTTTTTGTGTGTAAACATGTATATATGTCCCTGTGTGAGTACATGTGTGTGCCAAGCCCTGGGGTAGGTGTTGAGTGTCTTTCTCAAGCCCTTTCCACCTTATTTTTTGCTTGAAGAGTTATAGTTTTAACTATGGATATGTGTGTGTGTGTGTGTGTGTGTGTGTGTGTGTGTGTGTGTGTGTGTGTGTAGGTGGTATGCCCACATGATGCAGGTTCCATGGATACCAGAAACTGTGGGACCCCTTGGAGCTGAAGTTGCAAGTGTGCCGTTACAGATGTTTGTGAGCCACCCCAGTGAGTGATGGGAACTGAACTCAGGTCCTCTGGAAGGGCAGTTTGCACTCTTCACCATCCAGCCATCTCTCTAGCCCATCCACTTTACTCTTTGAGACAGAGAGGATCTGTCCCTGAACCTGTAGCTTGCAATTTGGCTAGACTCACCAGCCAGCAAACACAAGCCCTGGGTATTCCGTCTCTACACTGTGATGATGTTTCTTTTCTCTTTCTTTCTTTTCTTTCTTTCTTTCTTTCTTTCTTTCTTTCTTTCTTTCTTTCTTTCTTTCTTTCTTTCTTTCTTTCTTTCTTT